CAACAATTTAAAAATACATATGTTGTATTCTTCCTTGATGATACAATGATGTTAAGTTTTCTACTCCATGGGAGTGAATCTTGTCCGCACAAAGAGAACGTGACAACTGTTTCGGACTTTTCAACTTCTGCCCTCAATAGAAATATTATTTACAAAATTTTCTTCTCGGAAGGTGCTCAGAAATAATCGACATTTTTTATATGCATGCTCAATATTAACTAAAATACAGTAACAGTAAATAAATAATAATAAAAATTATATATTACAAAGCAGTCATTTTATTATGGACACGCAACCCAATAATTTTTCTATCTGCATGCGTAATTTTTTGGTTTTTATAAAGATGAAGTTAGTCGTGGAGAATTTATTTACTGATCATGGCAGGCTTGAATGTTTCAATTTCTTAATGAAGAGGCTTTTAATTGATTAATTCAACACGCACCACAGATTTTGGTCAATCTTAAGTGTGCATAGGTTACGTTCGTCGTTGTCAAGTGTCAACTGCAATGAATATTTAGTCAGATAAAGAAACTTCTCGTAACATGCAATTAAATAGATACAACTGTCATATACCACTTTATGTGACAACACATGATAAGTGTAATTATACGAGTCTCATAGCATCACGTTTAATTGAATATATCATTTAATGACACGTGTATTCCACGTGGGTTGGTGTTTTAGCACCGATAGTGCTTTAATAACACTGTTCATCTGCAAATGGTGGCAAGATTGGGTGAAGCAATAAATATAAAATACATTCGTTTTAAAATCAGATGGACCAAGCCATTTTGGCTAGAAAAAAAGGGGATAATATTGGAACCCCATCCGGTTATTATCTAAAAATTGCATCATCAAAATCTATATGAAACCTAGTCAATCTGTAATAGATTGAACATGATTACTTGTGATGATATGTTCCCCGACCATGGTGCACCGAATCGGTCCTTTCGCCCCAACGTGGTCCATGCTCAGTTCATGGCCGGGGCCTGTGGGCTATGGTTGGGGATGTATTTTTACATGTTTAATTGTATTTTTTAAATAAAACAAAATATTTTAAGTTGCGCTTTAGTATGGACATATCAACAATACATTTTTTTAAAGACTAAGCCCTCATTTGGTGCACATTTTGAAGGTAAAAATGCAATTTTACTGTTAATATGATAGGGAATATGTGGTTGACAAAAAAGAACAAGTTATTGACGTGATGAAAAATATTATTTTATTGAAGAATATGTGGTTGAAAATTAATAGAAGAATGAGAATGAAAAAAATAATGTGCACCAAACGAGGCCTAAGAAAACGTCAAGTCAATAACGCGTAAGGGAGCAAATATCTAAGAAAATTCTCTTTTTCAACGTCATGAAATTGATTATAATAAAACATGATTTCATTTTACAATTAACATTGATATAGTTCAAACATGAAAGAGAAATAAAAGTCAAGCTCGCGTACTAAGATTCTCTACTATATTGTTTTCACATTAATTATATCCACATATTTATCAATTTATCGTAGGTGACCGAATTACATGGATTAAACTTGTTGCGGTTATTTCTAAATATTTATATTTCAAGAAAGAGAAAGCATCGACCCCACGAGCATGACAAAGTGGTAAAGCACGAGGTTTCTTTACAGAGTATCGGAGGTTCGAATCCCCATGACAACTAGCAGGCAACATCTACGTTCGAAAGCAGATGTGCTATGGAGACAAAGTCATGATGCCTTATGTCAGCTCTTCGGGAAGCCGTTTGCACGTTGTAAAAGAGGATCCACAAGGAGGAGAATCGCTTTTCGAATATCCGGTCCAAGTGTGTATAAGTTGTGATCGTGTCCGATTTACTCAGGTGATGAATTAGAGGGAAGGTCGCCACTTCTCAAGATTAGTTAAGCGAATCTTGGATATTTGAATAAAAAAAAAAGGGCATCTATACAACGGATCCA